TGGCTACAGACTGCCCCAGTAAGCACTGCCCTGGTGGCTACAGACTGCCCCAGTAAGCTCTGCCCCCGTGGCTACAGACTGCCCCAGTAAGCTCTGCCCTGGTGGCTACAGACTGCCCCAGTACGCTCTGCCCTGGTGGCTACAGACTGCCCCAGTACGCTCTGCCCTGGTGGCTACAGACTGCCCCAGTACGCTCTGCCCTGGTGGCTACAGACTGCCCCAGTAAGCTCTGCCCCGGTGGCTACAGACTACCCCAGTAAGCTCTGCCCCGGTGGCTACAGACTGCCCCAGTACGCTCTGCCCCGGTGGCTACAGACTACCCCAGTAAGCTCTGCCCCACTGGCTACAGACTACCCCAGTAAGCTCTGCCCCACTGGCTACAGACTGCCCCAGTAAGCTCTGCCCCGGTGGCTATAGACTACCTGAGTAAGCTCTGCCCCCGTGGCTACAGACTGCCAGAGTAAGCTCTGCCCTGGTGGCTACAGACTGCCCCAGTAAGCTCTGCCCTGGTGGCTACAGACTGCCCCAGTAAGCACTGCCCTGGTGGCTACAGACTGCCCCAGTAAGCTCTGCCCTGGTGGCTACAGACTGCCCCAGTAAGCTCTGCCCCCGTGGCTACAGACTGCCCCAGTAAGCTCTGCCCCGGTGGCTACAGACTGCCCCAGTACGCTCTGCCCCGGTGGCTACAGACTGCCCCAGTACGCTCTGCCCCGGTGGCTACAGACTACCTAAGTAAGCTCTGCCCCACTGGCTACAGACTACCCCAGTAAACTCTGCCCCACTGGCTACAGACTGCCCCAGTAAGCTCTGCCCCGGTGGCTACAGACTGCCCCAGTAAGCTCTGCCCTGGTGGCTACAGACTGCCCCAGTAAGCTCTGCCCTGGTGGCTACAGACTACCTGAGTAAGCTCTGCCCTGGTGGCTACAGACTACCTGAGTAAGCTCTGCCCTGGTGGCTACAGACTGCCCCAGTACGCTCTGCCCTGGTGGCTACAGACTGCCCCAGTACGCTCTGCCCTGGTGGCTACAGACTGCCCCAGTACGCTCTGCCCTGGTGGCTACAGACTGCCCCAGTACGCTCTGCCCTGGTGGCTACAGACTGCCCCAGTACGCTCTGCCCTGGTGGCTACAGACTGCCCCAGTACGCTCTGCCCCGGTGGCTACAGACTGCCCCAGTACGCTCTGCCCTGGTGGCTACAGACTGCCCCAGTAAGCTCTGCCCCGGTGGCTACAGACTGCCCCAGTACGCTCTGCCCCGGTGGCTACAGACTGCCCCAGTACGCTCTGCCCTGATGGCTACAGACTGCCCCAGTAAGCACTGCCCTGGTGGCTACAGACTGCCCCAGTAAGCTCTGCCCTGGTGGCTACAGGCTGCCCCAGTAAGCTCTGCCCCCGTGGCTACAGACTGCCCCAGTAAGCTCTGCCCTGGTGGCTACAGACTGCCCCAGTACGCTCTGCCCTGGTGGCTACAGACTGCCCCAGTACGCTCTGCCCTGGTGGCTACAGACTGCCCCAGTAAGCTCTGCCCTGGTGGCTACAGACTGCCCCAGTAAGCTCTGCCCTGGTGGCTACAGACTACCTGAGTAAGCTCTGCCCTGGTGGCTACAGACTACCTGAGTAAGCTCTGCCCTGGTGGCTACAGACTGCCCCAGTAAGCTCTGCCCTGGTGGCTACAGACTGCCCCAGTAAGCTCTGCCCTGGTGGCTACAGACTGCCCCAGTACGCTCTGCCCTGGTGGCTACAGACTGCCCCAGTACGCTCTGCCCTGGTGGCTACAGACTGCCCCAGTACGCTCTGCCCTGGTGGCTACAGACTGCCCCAGTAAGCTCTGCCCCGGTGGCTACAGACTGCCCCAGTACGCTCTGCCCCGGTGGCTACAGACTGCCCCAGTACGCTCTGCCCTGATGGCTACAGACTGCCCCAGTAAGCACTGCCCTGGTGGCTACAGACTGCCCCAGTAAGCTCTGCCCCCGTGGCTACAGACTGCCCCAGTAAGCTCTGCCCTGGTGGCTACAGACTGCCCCAGTAAGCACTGCCCTGGTGGCTACAGACTGCCCCAGTAAGCTCTGCCCCCGTGGCTACAGACTGCCCCAGTAAGCTCTGCCCTGGTGGCTACAGACTGCCCCAGTACGCTCTGCCCTGGTGGCTACAGACTGCCCCAGTACGCTCTGCCCTGGTGGCTACAGACTGCCCCAGTACGCTCTGCCCTGGTGGCTACAGACTGCCCCAGTAAGCTCTGCCCCGGTGGCTACAGACTACCCCAGTAAGCTCTGCCCCGGTGGCTACAGACTGCCCCAGTACGCTCTGCCCCGGTGGCTACAGACTACCCCAGTAAGCTCTGCCCCACTGGCTACAGACTACCCCAGTAAGCTCTGCCCCACTGGCTACAGACTGCCCCAGTAAGCTCTGCCCCGGTGGCTATAGACTACCTGAGTAAGCTCTGCCCCCGTGGCTACAGACTGCCAGAGTAAGCTCTGCCCTGGTGGCTACAGACTGCCCCAGTAAGCTCTGCCCTGGTGGCTACAGACTGCCCCAGTAAGCACTGCCCTGGTGGCTACAGACTGCCCCAGTAAGCTCTGCCCTGGTGGCTACAGACTGCCCCAGTAAGCTCTGCCCCCGTGGCTACAGACTGCCCCAGTAAGCTCTGCCCCGGTGGCTACAGACTGCCCCAGTACGCTCTGCCCCGGTGGCTACAGACTGCCCCAGTACGCTCTGCCCCGGTGGCTACAGACTACCTAAGTAAGCTCTGCCCCACTGGCTACAGACTACCCCAGTAAACTCTGCCCCACTGGCTACAGACTGCCCCAGTAAGCTCTGCCCCGGTGGCTACAGACTGCCCCAGTAAGCTCTGCCCTGGTGGCTACAGACTGCCCCAGTAAGCTCTGCCCTGGTGGCTACAGACTACCTGAGTAAGCTCTGCCCTGGTGGCTACAGACTACCTGAGTAAGCTCTGCCCTGGTGGCTACAGACTGCCCCAGTACGCTCTGCCCTGGTGGCTACAGACTGCCCCAGTACGCTCTGCCCTGGTGGCTACAGACTGCCCCAGTACGCTCTGCCCTGGTGGCTACAGACTGCCCCAGTACGCTCTGCCCTGGTGGCTACAGACTGCCCCAGTACGCTCTGCCCTGGTGGCTACAGACTGCCCCAGTACGCTCTGCCCCGGTGGCTACAGACTGCCCCAGTACGCTCTGCCCTGGTGGCTACAGACTGCCCCAGTAAGCTCTGCCCCGGTGGCTACAGACTGCCCCAGTACGCTCTGCCCCGGTGGCTACAGACTGCCCCAGTACGCTCTGCCCTGATGGCTACAGACTGCCCCAGTAAGCACTGCCCTGGTGGCTACAGACTGCCCCAGTAAGCTCTGCCCTGGTGGCTACAGGCTGCCCCAGTAAGCTCTGCCCCCGTGGCTACAGACTGCCCCAGTAAGCTCTGCCCTGGTGGCTACAGACTGCCCCAGTACGCTCTGCCCTGGTGGCTACAGACTGCCCCAGTACGCTCTGCCCTGGTGGCTACAGACTGCCCCAGTACGCTCTGCCCTGGTGGCTACAGACTGCCCCAGTACGCTCTGCCCTGGTGGCTACAGACTGCCCCAGTAAGCTCTGCCCCGATGGCTACAGACTGCCCCAGTACGCTCTGCCCCGGTGGCTACAGACTGCCCCAGTACGCTCTGCCCTGGTGGCTACAGACTGCCCCAGTAAGCACTGCCCTGGTGGCTACAGACTGCCCCAGTAAGCTCTGCCCTGGTGGCTACAGACTGCCCCAGTAAGCTCTGCCCCCGTGGCTACAGACTGCCCCAGTAAGCTCTGCCCCGGTGGCTACAGACTGCCCCAGTAAGCTCTGCCCCGGTGGCTACAGACTGCCCCAGTACGCTCTGCCCCGGTGGCTACAGACTACCCCAGTAAGCTCTGCCCCGGTGGCTACAGACTGCCCCAGTAAGCTCTGCCCTGGTGGCTACAGACTACCTGAATAAGCTCTGCCCTGGTGGCTACAGACTACCTGAGTAAGCTCTGCCCTGGTGGCTACAGACTACCTGAGTAAGCTCTGCCCTGGTGGCTACAGACTGCCCCAGTACGCTCTGCCCTGGTGGCTACAGACTGCCCCAGTACGCTCTGCCCTGGTGGCTACAGACTGCCCCAGTACGCTCTGCCCTGGTGGCTACAGACTGCCCCAGTAAGCTCTGCCCCGGTGGCTACAGACTGCCCCAGTACGCTCTGCCCCGGTGGCTACAGACTGCCCCAGTACGCTCTGCCCTGGTGGCTACAGACTGCCCCAGTAAGCTCTGCCCCGGTGGCTACAGACTGCCCCAGTACGCTCTGCCCCGGTGGCTACAGACTGCCCCAGTACGCTCTGCCCCGGTGGCTACAGACTGCCCCAGTACGCTCTGCCCTGGTGGCTACAGACTGCCCCAGTAAGCTCTGCCCCGGTGGCTACAGACTGCCCCAGTAAGCTCTGCCCCGGTGGCTACAGACTGCCCCAGTACGCTCTGCCCTGGTGGCTACAGACTGCCCCAGTAAGCTCTGCCCCGGTGGCTACAGACTGCCCCAGTACGCTCTGCCCTGGTGGCTACAGACTGCCCCAGTGGCTACAGACTACCTGAGTAAGCTCTGCCCCGGTGGCTACAGACTACCTGAGTAAGCTCTGCCCCTGAGGCTACATACTGCAGACCTCCTTATCAGGAAGACAGTAGATCGTTTTGGCCACAGAGAAAGTATTTTAAGGAAAGCCTTCTCAGGTGCCAAACATCAGAGTTTGATTGAACTGTAACCATGGCAACGGTTCCCAGCGGGGTAGGCGCCCACCCTGTGATATATTTATAATAGTCCTGACATCAACAGAGGAGCTTCGCTTCCCGTTTGACGTCTGAAACAGGAAAGAGGTGGAAGTTCCACCATCCAGCCTGCTGGTTCTGACCCACTGGTCCTACAGGCCCCAGCAGATCAGAACCCGGCTGTCGGACCGGACCGGACCGGGTCAGGGCCGGTTCGGCCCTGCAGCTGTGCTTACCGAGCGCAGCATGCTGATCTCATCGTAGGACAGGAAGTTCAGGATGGTCTCGATGGCCACGATGGGCAGACCCAGCAGGGGGTTGTTCTGGTGCGGCTGCTCCTGTGGGGAGCTGGACTGTCTCAGCGACACCGCGTCCGGGTCCGCAGATCCAACACATCCATCAACTCTCTCCATGACGGCCGCCATCTTCTTCAGCTACGGAGGAGGCGGAAGTGACGTCTCAGATCTAGACGTTTGCTATTTCCGACATGCCCTGCAGTGGTTAATTAAATAAAATGACTAATTAGAGAGAAAATCACAAAGTGTCTTCATCGGACTCCACAGAGTGTCCGCTCTGACCTGAGGGCCAAACACGCAGAGGCCAAAAACTAAAAACAGGCCCCTGAGCAGCTGCTGCCGCGTAACATCTCACACCCAGGGCGTTCCAAAGTAGGGGGTGGGGTCCCCCGGGGGGTCGCGAGACACCAAGTGGACGGCCACATGGAGGGCCAAAATAAATCATGAAATACATAAATGTCCAATCAAATAAATAGATGTAACATTTATTCATTGACTTATTTATATAATGCATAGTTCAATGTTAAAGTTGAATCCGTTTGCCAAAAATATTACAGATCATCTAAATTGGTACGGAATAAAAGCTTCATTTTCATTGAGAGAAAAATACTATATAATAATTTCTTTTACAACATTTGAAATGTCCAGGCACCCTGCCAGGGGCGGAGCTAGATGGGGGTCCAGGGGTGGCCATGGCTAACATTACCCAATCATTGGCCACCCCTGTGGCCACCCCTACCCTCTAATGCTACGTTCACACCGGACGCAGCAAAAGCAGCAAAATCACGTCTGCTGCTTCATTTTTGCTGCTTGTACCAGTTAGTTCTGACACGCGGCTAAAGCAGCTTTGCTGCTCTGGCTGCGCGGTGCAAAAGTGGGTCTGACGCGCGTCGGGTGGAGCTGCCCTATCCTTTCTCTGCCTTGCAGCTATATTTGCTGTGATCAGTGGGAATAAAGTAGTTTTAATATGTTTTTAAGTGAGAAAATACACCTGAAAACTTCATCAGTCCAGTCATTTCATCCAGATTACAATCCCACCTTCCAAAATTATTTCTGTCGGAGCTGCTCAGACCCCCACATACCGGCGGTGCGCTGTCAGTAGGAATCCCTTCAACAGCAGCCTCTGGCCGGGTCGCCTTCTCGCGGTTCACCACGGCAGCTGGAAGGTGGTTTTCATCTAAATAATCCGATCTGCAGGCACCAGGATTATAAAAGCGAACATATTCTGCCAGCAGATTTCTGCATTTTAAGTTAATTTATGCGTCAATAAACTGTTTCAGAGGAGTGATCACAGCGCTCTCCCAGATCAGCTTCTCTGATTAGTTGATGCGGCGCGTCGAGCAGCAAAAGTAAAAATTTTCCATCTCGAGCAGCAGCGCGTTTGCGGCGCGCCACGCGCGTCAGATGCTTAAATGCGCCCGACGCGCTGCGCCTGCTGCTCAAAATGCGCTGCGGGACCTTTGGCTGTGCCTTGAAGCACATCAACCATTGACTTTGCATGTAAACTCGCTGCCTCTGCCGCACCTGCTACGTCCGGTGTGAACGCAGCATAATACAGACAGTGGCAGCAGTAATACTCTCAAGTGGAATGTTCTGACTTTATTTAACATTTTCTATGAGCAAACTATTACCTGACAACAAAAACCCCGTGGATAATTATGCACATCAATATACAAACATTAAAGATGATAAATACAGAATCCATGCTCTTTTCAGAACTAGATTTTGTCTTATATTGGGTAAAGAGAAAGTTATGTCTCTGCAAGTCATCTAGGAATCTTCACAGAAATCAGATAAATAACTATTTTAATAACAAGTAATCAATTTAATGTAAATATGTAAATATACATTTCATGCAGAATGATTATTAATAAAAGTAGGTAAATATTGACAATGAATAAGATGTTCACCCAGAACTCAAAACTGAAAGAGTTTTGTCCACTACACCTTTAGTTTAGACAGCATGGATGTTCAAATATATACGTCTATTTGTTAGCAAAGGCTGTAGGAAGGTATAGTTTGTCTTTATTCAGAAAATATGGATGTTTTGGTTGTTCATTTTCCTGTTGGAACAGTGACCCTGAGGTTCTGGGACCTATCCGCTTTCGGCCACCCCTCAGTGTACATTGGTTATTCCCAGGCCACCCTTATTAACATTTTCTGGCTAAGCCTCTGCACCCTGCAGCCAATCAAAATTGAGTATCCACCCAAACCACAGCTGTGTTCGATTTCCGCGGCTGCCTCGTCCAAGGATCCGGTCCCACTGGACTGGGTCCTTCCAAGTCCATGAAAATAAGGAGGTTGGAACAGTTTGACTATGGATTCAAACAGGTCCAGCCTTCTCTGGCTTTCACCGCATATGATCTGTTGCCTAGCAACCGTGGACAATTAACACCTGAAGCAGGCGAAGAATGGATGCCGAACTTCTCATTGCTGTTCTGGGTCTTGATAACATTTCGGAGGAGCTTCAGCAGCAGTACCATCGTGTCAGATATCAGATTTATAGTCCCCACCCTGCAGAGATCAAGAAACTTGAGTGGAGATTATTGGTGGGGACTGTCCCTGCCAGACCAACGTTGGTGGGGACACGTCCACACCAATCCTTTAAAAAGTTACACATGATCTGGATCCTCTTCAGTGTTGAGAAGCTGCTCCTCTCAGATTCTGCTGTGGTCACGGGAGTTGTGATGAGGAGCCAGAGTATCTGAGAGGTTGTCCTGAAGATTATTCCCCATGCAGAGCTGCTGCAAAGCCTCAGCACCACTGCAGCGCATCCTTGTTGTAGATCAGCTCAGTTTAATCCATGCTGGCTCAGATTCTGACGTTTGAAAAAGGAGGCAGGGAAAGCAGAATAAAGCCTTAGCCTTGCTGCATTCAGTTAGCCTAGCCTTGTAGCTGAACCAGGTCCTGGAAAAAGGCAGAGTGAACTGTCTCCATCTGTCTTTGGACTGCTGATTCATTTTGATGTTCAGCTGATCAGTTCCAAACGGTTTCACCTCCAGCTTCTCTTGGTGAGTTTGCTTCCGTCAATCAACCAAACTATGATTGTGACATCAGTTCCTGTCAGCTCTGGGCACCAGAGCTGCTCCCCAGGATGCTTCTATCTGTAGCACTGAAGAGGAGCTACTACACATGGACAACTTTTAACCAGAGGGAAGATTTTTTTGCCCCATGGTGGAAATACATCACAAATCAGACAATGAATGAAACAGCTTTAAGGGCAGATTAGACTTCTGTAGCCGACCACATCAAATGTTGCTTGGGTCGAACCAGTTTTGCTGGTATGCTTCTGCACCGTTGGTCTGGAATTTATAGGGACGCACAGCAGTTTCCTGCCAAAGCACAAAGGGGAGACTATTCAAGAACTGGCGAGAACTTCAGCGGATGGTCACGAGAACTTCAGGGGGCGCCGGCGGGAGTGTTTATCTTCCAAAACAACAATGGTGCGTCTGCAAGATATCACAGTCATGGAGATGGATCTAGAGTTGCTAGACATCAAAGAGGATATATAAATTTATATAATTTGTCGGAGGCATCGTACAAGTGGTTTTATTTCCGAACCCCCTCGCTTAACCTTTCGTCGTATCCTATCGACCAATTACAGCTGCTTCTTGTCTGCGCACTTCCGTTTGAGGTTTGTGCAGGTTTGCAACCGTCCGACACCTAGTCAGGAGATTCACCCACCAGCACAGAGACAGGTGGGTGGGGCGCACCGCCTAGCACCCTCTATTGGCCAGCTGCCACTGGTTACAATTATACTGCATCACAGCAGAAGCGTTTTAAGTGTAAGTAATGCTAAATGCAGAAATTTGGACGCAGATGCTGGATCAAACTGTGGTTCAGCTGCTTTCCTGCTCGGCTCGCTGGTTTATCTGCTCCGTTCTGTAGCTTCAAGCTAGAGAGCAGCTTGGCTTTATTTACTTTATGAGTTGGAAAAATAGTTTGAAACTGAGAAAATCCACCTCCAAACATCCTCTGTTCATCTTTTCATCAGGATAATTCTCCGACTAAAATCTGCAGTTGTTGTTGGGAGCACTAGACCTCCAGCAAAGTGCCGTGCCCCACATATTAGGGGGAAGGTGCTCAAGTATGAAAAAAGGGGAATTTGTGTGGAGCATAGCATCGCTCGCCTATTTGACATCATTAACCACATCCTGTCTGATAAATGTCTTTGATAATATTGAACACTCTAAACTTGGTTTCACGAAAAGATTGGTAACTAAAGAACACAGTATAATGAAACATTAGTGTCTATAAAATAATTAACTATTACAAACCAGTTTTGGTGGGGGGAAGGGGGGGGGGGGGGGTTTGTTGTGCCAATGTATAAAAGTTAGCGGTTTTTGTAAAAAATCCAGAAAAAAATAAATATTGGCACTTCTGTTATTCAGTGCTAGAAGGGCAGGTGCTCTAGCACCACATAGTGTATATCTGTGCACATCCCTGCTCCAGCATACCGCCGGGAGGCAGCTCTAGATATCCCTGCTGAAAACTCTCTGCTGCACCAGCCTGTGGGGGATTTCCTGCTGCCGTTCATAGAGGCTGGAAGTGAATAGAAATAATTTTTAAGGTTTGTGGTAAAAACTGCAAGAACCAGAATATACAATCCAATATTCTTCATCTGCAGGTTTTAACATATCTGGTTAATTTGCGTATTTATAAACTGTTTCTCCATGGTTCATTAAAAATGTTTTAGTGCAGCAATAATGATCAGAGCTCCCTCTCTGCTCCTTCTACATAACAATGCATTCTGCCAGCTTTTAACCTTTGGAGTTTATTTATTTTTCATATGCAGAATGTCTGCAGAAGCGATGACAGCTTGCATGTAGAGTCTGTCTCCCTAAAAATTCGCTCTAAACTGTCCATCATAGTCTTATCAGACGCTTTTACGCCCATAACATGCACAGTTTGAATGCAGCATTATAGTCATGGTAAAAGAAACTTGTCCTTTTTTTAAATCAATGGTTTTACACACAGCAACTTACAAAATGAGTCACAACTCCTTGAACTATGTTCATGTTTTGTTGTATTAAAACCAGAAACTCGATCATCATCCTCCTGGAAGGAGAGGAGTTCAGCCTGGTCTGACATCTGGCAGAGCTACTCAACTGTGTGCCCACATCATAATACTGCCACCACCTCTTCCACATGAATTTGATGATCTGCATGGGTCGTGGTAAACAGCAGAGAGGACTTTTTTTTTTACTTTCTTCCAACGACTCCCCAAACTGCCTGCTCCTGTGAGTGTCCCCGTCAGCACATTAACCAACTGAGCTGTAAATCCATGCAGTTCCTCCAGAATCACAGCTGCACGTCTTCCCTGCTGTCAGTTTAAGGCTGACAGCCACTGGTTTGGCTTTTTTCACTTTTTCCCCCGTATGGATTGCGTAAACGGTGCTCTGTGAGATATTCAAAGTTTATGATGTTACTCTATAAGATTTCTGAGTTATTCAGGAATGTTTTCCAACAAGGAAGAGGAAGGCGGAACTACTTTCAGCTGAAGTAGGACACATTTCTGTCCTTTCAAGAGAGTCCAATGGAAAAATGAACACAGCTGAGGTAAAACTGTGGGCAAAGTCATAGATGAGGCGCATCACCAGGATTCTGCAGCTTAACAGTCACATATAGAGCTGGATTGAGTTTCATCTAGTCAATATAAACTGACTTTTACAGCTTTTACTTCAAAGTAAGAGCTTGAGCTGCAACTAACGATTAATAATCAGACAGCCAAAGATTCTTTATAAAAGACTTTTGGCAGAATTAAACCATTTGAAACTTAAACTTTTTTAATTTGAGGAGTTCTGCATAGAGCTTACTGACAAATGAACAATCTTAAATAAAAAAAAATGTTATATTTATTTTTACAATATTTGTAAAATTAAAGCTGTAAGTGGGTTCCTCTGTCAGCTAAAGGCATGTTTTCGATTCTCTACACTCCAGTTAATGATTAATGGATTACAAAATCTGATTAATAACTACCGTATATATGATTGTGATCATTATTGTACCTCTATGGTATATTGTAAATAAAATGGCTTCACAGCATTGGCGTAACCAATGTTTTATGAGCAAAGCGCTTTCTTTGGAGCTGGATTTAACATCCATGTAATCAGGCTGTTGAAGGTGACTTCCACTGCAGCAGAGGGCAAAACCCCGATACAGATGGTTCAAAACCTGCTGAGCCATGACCTCGGCCTGACTGAACACCTTTTGGATGAATTAGAGCAGCTGAGAGCCACATTTTCCCACAAACACCCTCCCAGAACTAATGGACTGAGGTCATATCGCCTGTTATTTCCATAGCTGCAATCATCAGACTGTGTCATCTAAGGTCACTTTCCAGATCCAGTTCAGTCAAACCAGCTGAATGCACCCAGTCATTGACCTTGTAGGATTCTATTCTCCTGAATGAGCAGGCAGAGACAATAGATATAAGATTGACAGTACAGCAATCCCTCACACCAAGTATGCATATAGTGACAGTGGACAGGAAAACTCCCTTTTAACAGGAAGAAACCCCCAGCAGAACCAGGCCCAGTGTGAGCGGCCATCTGTTGAGGCCGACTGGGGTTTAAGGAGACAGAAGCAGACAGAAAACAAACATAGAAGCACTGATTTATAATAAAAAAATTCTATATTAATAACGGTGAACTAGCTCCATATAGCCAGAGCTGCCATACTGACAGGCAGTGAAAATGTCCCATCAGTCTGGAAAAGAGCTGGGAGAGCTCATTTCCAAGGCGGGACAAACATGATCGTCAGCTTGGAACCAACCAGGTAACTTCTCATGTGAAGCAAAAACTCCTTGAAACAAGTCAAGCTGTTGAAGAAACTCCAGTTAATGATTTCTGTCTGTTTTCCCTAAAGTAAATCATAGTATATAAGGTGGGCTCTCTATTATGTTATTTTCATTGCAACATCGCTCCATTGTTATATTGCCAGCTGCATTATGGGTAATTCTTCCGCTGATGGTGGTTTACCAGACTGCTCCATGTAATCCAGTCTGGCTGGGATCCATAGAGGTCTCTGTCTGGGTGCGATTTAAAAAGACTGAAAACAAAACTCAACACTGATCCATTTGTCCAGGAAGCAGAGCCAGCCTCAGTTCAACTGTATTAATCCAGATTTTCATCCTATGCAACTTTGAGTAATCTAACCTCTCAGCCGGAAAAATATTAAATCCTTTAAAAATTAATCTTTTTATTGGAGCAGAATTAACATGACTTTTATCGTTTTACTGCTCCTACTCTATTAGTTTCACTGTAGCTGTGTTTTATTTACTTTATGGATTTATTTCTATTTTATGGACCTGTGATGGATGTTTGAACTGCTCTATAAATAAAGATCCACTCATTGAGAAAAAGCCCTGCATGAATCCAGCCCACTTACAGAGCCGACGCAAATTTAAAATTTTTTTTTAAAGATTAATTTCTAAATAAATCGCACAATTTCACTTTAAAGGGATGCCTTTTTTACATCTAAACATCTTTAACCAGATAGAGGTCATTGCATGAAAAAAGCTGTTCTTGCTGATAGATTGACAGATGAGGGACAAGCCAAACTATCAAAAGTTTGATATTTTAACTTCTGTTTATGCATAATTTATTATTTAAGCTTTTTTTTTTTTAACACACGGGTTATTTTTGCACATTGCTGTTGAAACCAAAAAATTAAACAAAGAGAACTTACTATAAATAAACTGCACAGTAAAGGGTCCCAAAATCAGACTCTGCTCAGGGCCCCTTGGAGGCCGGGGCCGGCCCTGTGCACACCGATACGACTTTTTAACAAACAGACATTACCAGATGTGTCAAACGGTCTTCATGCAGGAATGAGGTGTTGAAAACTTAGGTGCTTCTTGATGTCCGTGGGACAGGACGCCATTAAATGCTGCTTAAAGATGGAAAGAATTGTTTGCATCATCACTGAAAGTAATTTATAGAAAACACAGTCAAGAATTTCAACTTTTATTTCTTGTAATTTTGACCATGATGACTACAGGAAGGGTTAAACCCAACATTCACATGAGATTCATCAAAGCAGGATGTTTCCAGTTTCTGTGGTTTGCCTATGAACTCTTTATGGTTCTGATGAGGTCCAATAGAAGCCCAGGAAAGTCCGGTGGACCAGAACAAGCTGATGACATGTTACTAAATCATCATGGAAATCTTTACAGTCATGATGGATCTAAGGTGGGTCTGGAATTGTTCTAAACATGATTCCGTGCCCACCTGGGATCTGGTTTTGGGACCTTAAGCCCGGAAACAACAGCTTTACTGAAGGCTGCAGACCTAAAAACCAGAAAATGAGCAGAATAAAACATTTCTGAAGGGAACAGAATTCCAGGTCATGGCAGAACAAAGATAGTCTGCTGGAGGCTCTTTAGGATCTGGCCCGACCGCATTCAGCGGGGGTGGGAGAGTTTCCAGGATTATGAGGAGCTCAGAAAGAACTAATCATTTTATAAAACTATGCACTCGTCTACGTGAAGGAATCTGACCCAGTTTGTTGCAGAGGTTCCAGTAGAACAAATACCGACGATTGCATCTTTTTCTTTTGTTTATTTCATCAACAAACATCTGATCCTAAACTCAGATGTGGGAGGAGAACAATGCTTCTCCATCAAGAACTCCAAGCGGAAAACACATTACAGAAGGACAAAAATAAGGTGTACAAAATAAAAGAGGTCATCTGTAGCCACCGGAACTGCATCGGCCCAGAAGCTCGGCTTCCAGAGCAGAACCCGATGCCGTCAGAAGAATCGGAGCACAGCAGGAACATAGTTAGTTTACTCCATATCCACAGTGTTCATCTCGTTGAGGAAACTCTGACATTTCCCCATCAGGACTTTGATGGCCTCTGTGACTAAAACGTCAGGAGGCAGGATGCCCGTCGACTCCACAGTAACTGGAAGAGAACAAAAGAACAGGATCAATCCCTCAGAAAGAGAAGCTTTTCTCATTCACTTTGCAGAAAACTCAACAATGGCAGAAAATGAGGTCAGGAGCTGTAGAGCTCCACCCAGTGACCACTTCTGGTTCAACTAATCTGCTGTTTTCCGGGTTCAATATTTGTGCAGCTCAATGGAACTGTGGAAAAATTTGCAAAGATGTCTGAATTTGTACATCTAATTTAATAAACATGAACAAATGTTTATTAACTTATTTTTAACAGGACTACAATGAAAACAACTAAACATTATATTGTGCACAGAAGACATTTTAGCAAAGCTATGATGACCTTCTTGTTTAAAGGAGGTTGGCGAACCGTGGTGTGCATCAGCTCCACCATCTGGTGGTTCAAACCGGAATTCTGACCTGGAATCAGATTCCTATTGTTCTGACTTCTTATTTTCCCACATCTTCAGTAACATAAATATGCAACAATTTTTTTTCTAATCAAAGCTGAAGTAGAGAACCTAGACATTTTTTTTTTTTTATAGGCAGCGGGAGGGGCAACAGGAAAAATCCAAAATGACCACAGAGCACAGGCGTAACTTTCTGAAGGACTGGTGTGGACACTCCCCTCCAATAATCTCCGCTTTTTTTCCCCTTTCCGTTCATTTCCTTTTGCCAAAGGTAACAGAGGTTGTAACATCGGAGTAACATCAGATCTGTTGCTTTGAGACATTTGATTTGTAGCTACGTGGTTGAAGGAGATACACACAGCAGCACTCAGTGAATATTAACCACACAGCTACTTCGATGTTTAAGTAAAAGTTAGGATATGGGTTGGTTAAAGAAATTAGAGATCATGCCACCGAAAAATCAGTTTGTTAATCATATGGAGCTTTTTCTGCTAAAAATGGCAACAGAATGTAAGTTTATAACGCAAGAAGCTTGAGAAAACATAGTTTGTTCTTCTTTACTAGTTAAAAAAGCTGGGATACTGGGATATGCAGCATGCAATAAAATATATCTCCAAGTTTACCAGAAAGTTTACAGAAAAAAAATATGCTATGCTATATTTAAAATGCAGCATATCCATATTTTCCTGGATGGAATTTAAATTGTTCTTCTATGGATGCATGATATATCGATTTTCGCATCGGAATCGGCTGTTATTCCTTATTCTTTTAAACATTGTTTTTGGGCCCTATTTAAATAACGCCCTGAAAGGAATCTCTTCAAGTGTCGATAAATATCAGTGTATTATGGTTCTCTTGTGTTCTCAACAATAGGAAAGCATTCAATAAATATATGTTTGAGCTCATTTTTGGAAAGTAAAAAAACCTAATGAAAGCGTTAGGGTGGAGTAACCGTAGCTCCATCAGACCCCACCCTTAGAGTCTCCCCACCAACTTTCATCACAAAGTTACACCCTTGCCACTCTCACATTCCCTCATTTCTTTCTATCATATTTCTATCGCTTTGTAAAGTCAGGAAGCCCAGAGCTAAGATGGAGTAGGGGACATCATTCTGCACCAATGTCTCAGTGGAACAGAATATCATTATCTTCCTGATTCTTCAGCTGCTTCAGGTTTATCCGTTTCTAATCTCCTTCATTGTGAAGGCTAATAAAAAGAATAAAGCCCAGAATACACCAAATCCCATTTTGCGTCTGACCGAACAGAAAATCATGTCGGACAAGGTTGTTGCATTTAGCATGATTTCCTGCAGGGGGCAACGTAATTCCGGCTGAGATAAAGCGCAGGTCTATTTTAGTCGGACTACGCAGCAATTCAGCAGCAATTTCATGAGTTTGACAGGAAGAGAGACGCAATTACAAAGTAAAACACATCTGCTTTGGGGGAAAATACTAAATAAAATCTGTTAATCTCACGGGGAAAGAGTCAGTTTGGAGTCACACATCGCGTATATATAGTAAGCAGGACAGACTGGTGCAAAAAGAATGAAGGAAACATTAAAAAATATAAAACTTTCCCCATGATAGGAGTTCGGGAGGACAGAAACGGATAAAGTAGTGATCCTCTTTGAGCCTCACAGAAACCAAAATAAGGAGGGTCAGACAGAGCAGGTAAATGCAGCGTATCTCTCTCATCTCTTTATGAAAAAAGAAAGAAAAACTTGAATAAACTTCCCAGATCTCTGAAAATCACCTCTCTGTCTCAGTCAGAATAGAAATTGTCTTTTCTTTAACGTAGATCTCAATACGTTTTTAATATATGAACATTCTCTATCTGTTCTGGTTCTAGATGCAGCACAAACCCGTTAAGTGGAGCTTTTCTTTATAGAATGTGCAGTGATTTTTTATTTATTTTTATTTTTTAATACCTTTTCATAATCTGTCCAAGTCAAATATGGGAAATAGTTTTAATGTGTGTATAGCACAGGATCTGCTCACCCTGCCTAGTTGGAGCCTCTCTATGGGGTTAGTGTGACATGGAAACATATCTGATCACAGATTAAAAAGTCATACACAGCCGGTCTGTTCTGGGCTTAATGCAGTCAGGCTTCTCCATCAAATCTACTCTGCAGAACAGAACCAAAGATGGAGGAGCAGCTTTAAGTTCTCATGCTCTGGGTTAGGGAAAAGAGCCTCAGTTGCTTTAAATCCAGGATAAAGCAACTTTGACTGAACACTGTTAGTTTTACATCAAAATCTCTTCATTCTTAATTAACCATTTTATCTTTTTTTTCAGTAAAATCATTTTAAAGTCATTTTAAGTACCTTTCTGAAAGGAATACTGACTGAATCAGACACCTTTAAAAGGTTCTAAATCCAGCGGTCAGTCATCGATGGGGATTCGTATTGACATTTTTATATTTCCTGTTTTTGTTTCATTTTAGTTTTGAGCCAATCAGGTTAGCAAAGCAGAAACTATTTCCTGGAGTCTAGTTTCCTGAGATCAGAGCTGATACTACAGCAGGTTAATTAGTCAGAGATGTTAACAGACGTACAGATGAAATGGTCCCGAACTCTCCCCAGCTTTACGGAGTTCTTCAGGTCGCTGTGCCGGAGAACCTCCCTGCTGCACGTATCCAGGCGGCTGTTCACCACCTTGGCCACCTTCTTTCCTGATAAAAAAAAATAAACAACAAAAATATTTAGAAACCCCCTCGATTTCAGATCAGGATTCTCGCTCCTCAACCTTTACCCCGAACGTCCTCCAGGTCGATCACCCCCCCGTGAGAAGCAACGCTTCAGGCGCTCCGCCTTCTCGCCCTCCACCGGCTCCAGCAGGGTGATCTCTGGGAGGAGGCGGTAGCTGGCTGTTGCCACAGGAGAGAACTTGGCATGGTCCTTTCCTGGAGACAGAACCCCACCGGATCGACTTATTGTTCCCTTTGTACATTTCCATAGAGACCATTTTAAATGTCCACGCCCTGCTTCATCTTACCGACTCCTTTTACGCAGTGCATGACGATGTCCAGCTCCTGTCCCGGTCGCAGCTGAGCTATCAGGATGTCGTCGTGCACAGGTCCGATACGGGAGTCTGCAAACACATCCGCCTGGTTTCCAATGGGGACCCATTCTATATCTTTGGAATAAACTGAGACAGAAAAGGACTTTATTTTGGTGACTACCTGGACTTGCAGGCAGTACTGGTTAGTTGCCATGAAACCAAACAATTCCCACTAAATGCTGACCAATCAAACTCACCCATGTGGTTGAGATAGAGTTCCCGCGGGTCAGAGGAATCTTTGCTAGCTCGGGGGTTCCTGCTGCATTTAATCTTCAGCTGAAGTTGAATTGTGTTGATCTCTGAAGCTTCTTCTTCGGCAGTCTCTTCACCTTAAAGGTAAATAAACAAAAAACCAAAACATTCCTTGGTCCATCAGCTTGTTTACACTACCATGGCCACTAGAGGGCAGTTTTGACTGTTAGTTTGGAAAGGACTGCTTGGCCTCTCCATTCAGGAACTATTTCTGCCCTAATTAAACTATTTTTTTTAGCTTTTAGACTGCCATAAACTAGCACAGGATCTGCTCACCCTGCTTAGTCGGGCCTCTCTATACACAGTCAGTGAAACATGGAAAAAAATCGTATCAGAGATTAAAAAGATGTACGCAGCCCGAGTGTTCAGGCCTTATTGAAGCTGTTTTCAGCTCAAAAATAACATAGCCAAAGAATAAATACCTTTAAAAAACACACAATCGTTCCACTATGCATTCATCTAGAATGTATAGTGGATGATATGATTGGCTGAATTTAGGTATACAAGCTGACATATAACTAACTTGCCTGCATAAGATAACGAAATCAAAAGACCCCTCAACAGATTTTAAGACAGGATTTTTTTTTTTTTATCGAAATATTTAAATTTTGGGACAATATGGTCGGATAAAGTGTACACTTATATACATGTTTAAGCCAGAATGATTTGATATTTAATTATGATTTCCCTACCACTTTAATAGTTTATTTTATATCTAATATTTGAATCAATGAAAGGGCCTTGAGACGACGTGTTGTGAATTGGCGCTATATAAATAAACTGAATTGAATCATGTATCCATCTATTATTTCATGGGTTATTTCAAGGGTCACATTCTGGACCTCTACTTTGAGAAACGCTGCTTAAATTGATAGATTTGTAGAGTGTACATTATTTACACTATATTTATCAGGAGACCTGGTAAAGATGTTTAGAAATTATATTTAGATTAATAAATCCATCTTTAATTGAATTGAATTTATTAAGTGAAGAAGTCGGGTGTCATTTTTCAATAAATCACATAAATATATGTCCTAGAAGTCACTAATGACAGAAACATTGGTCCCCCCGGTAATACAGATCAATGTCAATTATTGTGTCAAAGCTAATATCTAGTGGAATAGTGTGAAGTCGCCAAGGATTCTGGGAATTGTTGTTTTACCTGTATTCTTGAACTCAAACAGACGAGGGTCTGCTTTGATGGGGATGAGGCCCAACCTGTGGGCTAGAACCTCATCCTGGACGATAGATGTGTTGTTATAGATGAACACTTTCTCTATAGCCATGGTGGGCACCTGGAAACAGATAGAGAGGAAAGCTTTACAAAAAAACATAAATTATGTCATGCTTCTTTTGTGGTCTTTAAACTGGTTTTCCTCTGTGCCTCAATCTCTAAGTTTGAATCATTGTTACTTTATAAATTCAACATCTTAAGTAATAAAAGGCACAGAAACTTTGGAAATAAACAAGATTTCTTTATGTCTACTACAGATTACTTTGAGTAGATTTAGTTTAGCCCTTAAAGCCTACAGTAGCAAATATGCATCGAACTGTTTTTATTAAGCAAACAGACAAGATGGAGTCTGGTTTCCTCCTTTTACACATTCAGCGCAGACCTAGGAACCTTTGGCAAACACTTGTTGCTAGTAGGACTGCTGCTGACCAGAGAGCTCAGATCTGGAGCCAAATAAGACAAAACAGTCAGGAAATAATGAGCTATTTTATACATTAGCTAAAAAAGAATCTCTTATTTGTTATTGAAGGCTTCTTGATCCAATTTTCTCAGATAAACTCTGTATGTTTTTTTTAAAGTTATAAGTTTATATATTTGCTACAGTAGGGAAATGAGGTAGATCTGAGAAAAGGACTGATTTTAGGAATACTGACTTATTTTTCATGATTATTTTCAAATATTTTAATAAAAATAATTGACTAGGATACAGATGTCAGTTTTAATAGAGTTTTCTTGTTTTGCCATCTTGAAATCATGACTGCTTTTACACATTTGCACCTTGGTGAATGTTATTTATTCAAAATAGACTGTTACAATAGAAGAGATGTACTATTTGTTTTCTATGGATATAATCTGTTTATTACAGTTTTATTATTGAGTGTTTTTATTCTGACAGATATATCTGTTGTTGCAAAGTGGCTAAAAGCCTGATTTTCTACTGCTTTAATGTGCAATAGTCAAAGAAAACATCTTAATTTAGTATCTACTGAAAGTAAAAGACACACACAAACATTTTAATACACATGTCACCACTTGTAAAAACAAAACTATTGTTCCAATTTCCTTCTTAAATTGAACAGAAATGGGCAAAAACAAGAGTTTGGTTTTACCGGTTTTCTTCACAACCAAATAAAACATTTCTTTATGTCCGTTATTTTAAAGAAACGACTGGTAATTAATTCAAATTACTCCAAAAAAACAAAAGGTCAAACTAATGACTGGCATTGGGCCCCATTTAGAGATGATAAGCTTACATTTATTATAAACAATGGGAATAAACAGACCAGGCTGTCACCTCTGCTAATAAGATTCTCCTGAAGGCGTTGGCAATGGCAGCATCGATCCCCACCATGTCAAACTCCATGCTGTTCTCATCTAGATGCACTACATCAATCCGGAAGTTCTGCAAACAGATGAATGGATTTGGAAGAGAAACCAGGAAACATTTCTTCAAACACTGCAGCTCTGGAAATTCATGTTAAAATACCACAGTTCTGCTCATAATTTACACACTATTAAAATAATAACCCCTTTGGTCTGAAAGTTCTGCATTTTATCTAATGAAGAATACATTTTCACTCAGTGCAAAATCTTTCCACACAACTAACAGACATAAAGAAGCAGCTAAAGAGCAGACAGACAGGACAGTCTCTATACCAGGGGTCTGAATAAAGAAAATCATCAACCAGTAAAGGTCCGGAGACATTTTTGATTATAATCTGTTACTCTGAACAGAATTTAACACTGAAATAAAATGAGGTTTTTATGCATCCATGTTATACAATTATTTTTTTTTAATAAAACATATATAACATATATATATATATATATATATATTAGGGATGGAACGGTTTTTGAAAACCGTCCGAACTGTTCGGTTCGACTGTCTCGGTTCGGTTCGCGTGTGTTTCGTTCGGTTCATGCGCTGCTCCTTTTTCTCATAGAGGAAGTGATTACACTCCAGAGCAGAAGGTGGCGGTACTGCGACCAAAGCCAACAACCAGTAGTAAACAAGAAGAAGAAGAAGCGAAGCAGCGTAGCCGGGTGTAGCAGAAAAAAATCAGTTGTTATGGAGAATTGTGTGGGTATGGCGAGTGGGAATGAACAGGAGTTGGAAGACGCTCCAGCAGCACTTTATAGGTCTGCTGTATAAGACCGCTTTGCATTTAGAGTGACCTACGATGACAGCGGAAAGAAAGCTGTGGATAAAAGTGCAACAGTGTGCAAGCATTGTGCAACACCTTTTGTTTATTCTAACAGCAACATGACCAACATGTCAGGCTAACCCTGAAATCCCTCATACTCCGTCAGCAACCGGCTGCTCAAAGCAAAGCCTACAGCCCCCACTGTGGCTCCCGTCCACTCCGCTCTGAGTCCCTTGGAGATGGTAGAGAGCATGCGCGGAAATGATCCAGGGTTTCCGCGGATCATTAAAAATAATTACAATTCATTAATTTTTTTGGATTTTTGCATTAATTTCATTTTTTTTTTTTTCATTTTATAATTTTTTTTATTTTTCGGTGTAACAATAAACATAGACAATTTATAGGTTTATAGACAATTTCCTGATTCACATATTTTATAAAAAGCCTGAACTAACCGTTATTTTCTTTTTTCTGTCTTAATGTTGGCAGTGGGCTTTATGCTGCCTTGCAAGGCTTTAAACGTGGTTTGAATGGAGACTAAGCCATTCTAAAGCACATATCAAGGAGCTCATTTTGAGCCTGGATCCATATTTATTTTTGATTCTGTTCATGGTGGAGAATCCTGCTTCACAGCAGCAGGTTGAGCCAAACATCCTCTAAATGTTCAGGGTCATCTTTGAGCACCATTTCACTTTTCTTTCACCAGTTCACCACAGTTCTTCCAGCAGTCCACACTTTCTCTGCTCTCTTTTTCTCATCATCTTCTCCTTCTTTCCCATCGCCCGGCTTGCCACAGGTTTGCCTGCTGTGTCTAAAAGCAGCAGCAGCAGCAACCCAGACTGACAGTAGCTCATGTGATTATTTGGATCACATGCAGCCTGGTCCAGGAAGCTCTGGAGGGCTTTATCGTATTAACAGGAGAAGCGGCGCAAGTGAAATTAGACACTGTCGTTGGACAACATGCTGTAATTTATAATGTTTTAAATCAGGTTGGGTCCGGATTAGCCAGCAGGTGGGTCGGGATCGCGGTCCGCTAATCTGTGACCTCAGCTCTATTCCCTCCATCTACAGCACACAGCCGTCCATCATGTCCATATCAAACAAACAAAACAGAACGCTTTTTTCCGATATCCGGACGTTTTCCTGCACCATGCAGCCATCTGTCTATGTTTTGGGGTGTGGATTTTAACCAGTCATTAATTTGGTAAAATTTAGCATCATTCATTATCTGCTGAACCTGAGAAAAGACTAAAGACTAGAAGAAGGATCAGAAACATGATCACTGGGCTGTAGGAATAATGGAAAATCCTCAGAAAAGAATGTTAGGTTCAATAAAGTTTTACCTAAACATCCTTGTATTCATTTGTTTCCCTCAAATGTTAAAAAACACCAAAGTATGAAAAAGAAGTGAATCTGATGTTTAAAACGATGCGTTCACAGACCTGTAAAACGTACCTTTTGAAATCGTTTCATGTCCCAAGTGTCATCAAAGCCTGGGTAGTTTCCAGGAAAATCTGTTGTATGAACCTGATACAAAAAAAATCAGAATTAATAAAAGTTTATTTAATTCACATATTCCAAACTAACTACCATTAAATTATTACAGCAATGAAACAAAATTTAAGAAACAAGTTGTATACAACTTATCTATCTTATATATGAATTAAATAAATAAATGTGATGCTTGCTGTACTTTTTACTGAAAATTTGCTGCACAACTACAAGTAAAAAGCCTTAAAAAGGAGAAGCAAAAGTAAAGGAGATGGATCAGCAGTGCTTGTGAACAGATTATCTTACTGTAACACTTTTTCTCTGCCCAGACATCGAACTGCTTGCGGCTCAATACCAAGAGGGAAAGTTTTCATCCATATTGTTCACCAGTGTTGTGTGTATATATATATATATATATATATATATATATATATATATATATATATATATATATACAGGTGCTGGTCATAAAATTAGAATATCATGAAAAAGTAGATTGATTTCAGTAATTCCATTTAAAAAGTGAAACTTGTATATTATATTCATACATTACATACAAACTCATATATTTCAGATGTTTATTTTGTTTAATTTTGATGATTACAAATGACAACAAATGAAAATCTCAAATTCATCATATCAGAAAATTAGAATATTGTGAAAAGGTTCAAAATTGATGGCCCCTGGTGCCACACTCTAATCAGCTAATTAACTCAAACCACCTGCAAAAGCCTTTAAATGGTCTTTCAGTCTAGTTCTATAGGCTACACAATCATGGGGAAGACTGCTGACTTGACAGTTGTCCAAAAGACGACCATCGACACCTTGCACAAGGAGGGCAAGACACAAAAGGTCATCGCTAAAGAGGCTGGCTGTTCACAGAGCTCAGTGTCCAAGCACATTAATAGAGAGGCGAAGGGAAGGAAAAGATGTGGTCGAAAAAAGTGTACAAGCAAGAGAGATAACCGCACCCTGGAGAGGATTGTGAAACAAAACCCATTCAAAAATGTGGGGGAGATTCACAAAGAGTGGACTGCAGCTGGAGTGAGTGCTTCAAGAACCACCACACACAGACGTATGAAAGACATGGGTTTCTGCTGTCGCATTCCTTGTGTCAAGCCACTCTTGAACCACAGACAGCGTCAGAAGCGTCTTGCCTGGGCTAAAGAGAAACAGGACTGGACTGCTGGTGAGTGGTCCAAAGTCATGTTCTCTGATGAAAGTAAATTTTGCATTTCCTTTGGAAATCAAGGTCCCAGAGTCTGGAGGAAAAGAAGAGAGGCACTTCATCCACGTTGCTTGAAGTCCAGTGTAAAGTTTCCACAGTCAGTGATGGTTTGGGGTGCCATGTCATCTGCTGGTGTTGGTCCATTGTGTTTTCTGAGGTCCAGGGTCAACGCAGCCACATACCAGGAAGTTTTAGAGCACTTCATGCTTCCTGCAGCTGACCAACTTTTTGGAGATGCAGATTTCATTTTCCAACAGGACTTGGCACCTGCACACAGTGCCAAAGCTACCAGTACCTGGTTGAAGGACCATGGTATCCCTGTTCTTAATTGGCCAGCAAACTCTCCTGACCTTAACCCCATAGAAAATCTATGGGGTATTGTGAAGAAGAAGATGCAATACACCAGACCCAACAATTCAGAAGAGCTAAAAGCCACTATTAGAGCAACCTGGGCTATCATAACACCTGAGCAGTGCCACAGACTGATCGACTCCATGCCACGCCGCATTGCTGCAGTAATACAGGCCAAAGGAGGCCCAACTAAATACTGAGTGCTGTACATGCTCATACTTTTCATGTTCATACTTTTCAGTTGGCCAACATTTCTATAAATCCTTTGTTTTTATTGGTCTTCAGTAATATTCTAATTTTCTGATATGATGAATTTGAGATTTTCATTTGTTGTTATTTATAATCATCAAAATTAAACAAAATAAACATCTGAAATATATGAGTTTGTATGTAATGTATGAATATAATATACAAGTTTCACTTTTTAAATGGAATTACTGAAATCAATCTACTTTTTCATGATATTCTAATTTTATGACCAGCACCTGTATATACACTATATTGCCAAAAGTATTTGCTCACCTGCCTTGACTCACATATGAGCTTAAGTGACATCCCGTTCCTAATCCATAGGGTTCAATATGACGTCGGTCCACCCTTTGCAGCTAGAACAGCTTCAACTCTTCTGGGAAGGCTGTCCACACGGTTTAGGAGTGTGTTTATGGGAATTTTTGACCATTCTTCCAGAAGCGCATTTGTGAGGTCGCACACTGATGTTGGACGAGAAGGCCTGGCTCTCAGTCTCCGCTCTAATTCATCCCAAAGGTGTTCTATCGGGTTGAGGTCAGGACTCTGTGCAGGCCAGTCAAGTTCATCCACACCAGACTCTGTCATCCATGTCTTTATGGACCTTGCTTTGTGCACTGGTGCACAGTGATGTTGGAAGAGGAAGGGGCCAGCTCCAAACTGTTCCAACAAAGTTGGGAGCATGGAATTGTCCAAAATGTCTTGGTATGCTGAAGCATTCAGAGTTCCTTTCACTGGAACTAAGGGGCCAAGCCCAGCTCCTGAAAAACAACCCCACACCATAATCCCCCCTCCACCAAACTTTACACTTGGCACAATGCAGTCAGACAAGTACCGTTCTCCTGGCAACCGCCAAACCCAGACCCGTCCATCAGATTGCCAGATGGAGAAGCGCGATTCGTCACTCCAGAGAACGCGTCTCCACTGCTCTAGAGTCCAGTGGCGGCGTGCTTTACACCACCGCATCCGACGCTTTGCATTGCACTTGGTGATGTATGGCTTGGATGCAGCTGCTCGACCATGGAAACCCATTCCATGAAGCTCTCTGCGCACTGTTCTTGAGCTAATCTGAAGGCCACATGAAGTTTGGAGGTCTGTAGTGATTGACTCTGCAGAAAGTTGGCGACCTCTTCGCACTATGCGCGTCAGCATCCGCTGACCCCGCTCCGTCAGTTTACGTGGCCTACCACTTCGTGGCTGAGTTGCTGTCGTTCCCAAACACTTCCATTTTCTTATAATACAGCTGACAGTTGACTGTGGAATATTTAGGACGAGGAAATTTCACGACTGGATTTGTTGCACAGGTGGCATCCTATCACAGTTCCACGCTGGAATTCACTGAGCTCCTGAGAGCGACCCATTCTTTCACAAATGTTTGTAAAAACAGTCTGCATGCCTAGGTGCTTGAATTTATACACCTGTGGCCATGGAAGTGATTGGAACACCTGATTCCAATAATTTGGATGGGTGAGCAAATACTTTTGGCAATATAGTGTATATATAAATATATATATACACAGTGAGAAAAATAAGTACTTGAACACCATGCTTAGAAAACATGGAGGGGTCTGAAATTATTATCGTAGTTGCATGTCCACCGTGAGAGACATAATCTAAAAAAAATAAATCTAGAAATCACAAAGCATGATCTGTTTTTAACCTATTTATTCGTATGATCCAGCTGCAATTAAGCTTTTGAACATCTCTTTATCAGCTAGAATTCTGACCCTCAAAGACCTGTTAGTCTGCCTTCAAAATCACCACCTCCACTCCATTGATTATCCTAAATCAGATGCACCTGTCTGAAGTTGTTAGCTGCATAAAGACACCTGTCCACCCCATACAATCAGTAAGAATCCAACAACTATCATAGCCGAGACCAAAGAGCCATCCAAAGACACTAGAGACTAAATGATTTAGATCCAGAAGGCTGGAAATGGCTGCGGGGAAATCACCAAGCAGCTTGATGATAAAAGGTCCACTGATGGAGCAATCATTAGAAAATGGAAGAAGCTAAACATGACGGTCAATCTGCCTCAGACTGGGACTCCATGCAAGATCTCACCTGGTGGGGTCTCACTGATCCAAAGAAAGGTGAGAAATCAGCCCAGAACTACACAGGAAGAGCTGGTCAGTGACCGGAAAAGAGCTGAGACCACCGTTTCCATGGTTACTGTTGGTAATACACTAAGACGTCATGGTCCCCTGCTTAAGCCAGCACATGTCATGGTCCGCCTTCAGTTTGCCAATGACCATTTGGATAAACAGAGGAATCATGGGAGTTGGTCATGTGTCTGCTGGATGACATAGGGACCCCTATTTCATCATTCTGCTTCATTCTATCTCTATTCTTCTACTCTGCAGAATCTGTTAGTTCAATCTCTAACATTCTGCTCTCTCTGCTTTTTCTCATAGTAGCTTCATGTGGTCTGTTCCTGTTTGTCTGTGACTCCATCCTGGACAGAAATATCAGCTGTGCTGCTGCCATCAACACCTTTGTTTATAGATGTTGGAGATCGGCCTGTTTTTCAGTGTAGTCCTGTTTCTCTGACTGTGACTGGCTGGATGTGCTCAGAGCTTGTTTCCTGGATGGGGCCCCCATTAGCAGCTGCTTTTTGTGTCTCTGCTTCTGTCTCCTTGAACCCAAGCAGTCCTCAGCAGATGGCCGCTCACACTGAGCCTGGTTCTGCTGGAGGTTCTTCCTGTTTCAAGGGAGTTTTTCCTCTCCACTGTCGCTACAAGCATGCTTAGTGTGAGGGATTGCTAAAAAAGTAAATGAGTCGATGCAATCAACTGGTTTTCCTTAGATAGAAAACATTGAATAAACTGTATGATCTGGTGAACTGTAAAGTGCCTTGAGATGACATGTGTTGTGAATTTGAGCTATAGAAATAAACTGAATTGAATTAAATGTAACCACAGGCGTAACTTTCTGAAGGATTGGTGTGGAAAGTCCCCACCAATAATTTCCACGCAAGTTTCTGTCGGTATTCAGAGCTTTTTCAATAAGTCTTTTTTATTCTCTCCCTCCTGCTGCTCCCGAGCCCCGCCTATCTTTCTAACACCATCGAAACTTCCCTTTGAGACACAATATTTTCAGTTGTTACTTACTGCATACATAGTAGCTACGTGGTTGGAAGAGAGACAGCACACAGCACACAGTGCATTTTAACCTGCAGCTACTTGTACTTCCATATGTCTAAGCCACCGAAAAAAAAGTTTGTTCTTCAGTAAAAAAAAAAAAAAAAAAAGTGTATGTTTGTACAAGTCAGTATTATAATGTAATAGGTTTGACAAAACATAGAGTTTAGATGTTGTGAGTTAAAAAAGTAAAAAAAAAAGCTGGGCTTATCAGAGGACCATGACTCACAATTACAGGTTAACACCTTTCTGTGGTTTTGTTATTAAACAGACAGAATCAGAATACAGAGCTTCTAGAAATCTACAATATTCTTTATTACTTCTATATTAGTTGACAGGTTCATAAATCTGTTTTTAAGCAGAACACAGAGAAACAAGTAGGCACAGCTGCAGAGTTAAAGGTGAAAAAGATTCACAAAAAAAGGCTATGCAACATTTAAAATGCAACATTTCTTTTTTGTAATTCAGCAAGACTCTGTAATAGCTGTGGCAGCAAACCCACAGACAAATACAGAGTCCGACTCACAGGTGAGACAGACTTAAAATTGAAATATAAGAAAACAGAATTAAAGCACAAATAATAGTAAAAATCAGTCCATCAATAATTTATGAAATATAACTTTCAATACATAGACTGTCAAAGATATGTGGGACAAAATTCTAAATAAGATTTTGCTGCTTATGAAGGTTGATAATCACTGATGCATCTTAAAGGGAAGCCATCCATCTATCCATAGACTGACAGACAGACGGACAAAAACCTAATGAAAAGCATTTTGGTCGCGTAACTGTAGGTCCATCAGCCACCACTAGAGTGTCCCCACCAACTTTCACACCCTTGAATATAAACAATAAAAAGTCTGTCACCATAGCACAATGAATGAACCCCACCTTTTAGTGCAAATTAGCCGAACAAACTGCAGCGAACCTACTTAAGCCAAACCTGTGAGCCCAAGTAAACATGTCATGGTGGACAAAATTAAAAACCAAGCGGTCTACTTTGACGCTGTCTGGATCGTGGGACTTTTGCAAGATATTTGCAAATATTCCAGATTCCACTTTAATCCACACAGTTTAACACGGACACAACTACTCGCAAGCAGTGGATTATGTTTGCATGGCTCATTCACATTACAATGATTAGCTTTTAGATGCAAAACCCGATAATGCATCGCAACATATTGTTGCTAAATATTCAAACATAAATTCGACAAATATAAGAGGAACACTGTAGTTTGGTTTAACGAAAGCATTTTAGCTTTATTATAATTTAGTAGTAGAAAATGACACCGTTTACCAACGGTCACTAGGATGTGCATGACAAGGAAGGCCTATATATACTGCATGCATCATTTAAGTAGTTAACATTGGATTACTTCTTGAGCTCCTTGAGTTATTTACTGTCAGAGGTAGGGGCTTTGGCCGGAGATTAAATGTTGGGACCGGTATGATTTAAGGAGGGCCGGCCCTCGCACAGTGAAATTAGTGCCGGCCCACCAGTATCACAGATTACCAGTCCGAGGCTGAGAGTCACAACATTGCACCAGTCACGTGTGATCTAACAACTCTGCTGGGATTCAGTAAACATGGAGCAGCTCTGTTTAGGGGGAGTCAGATGGATTAAAAACACTGATTACTCTCTGGCTCCATGTTCCTCTGCATTGTTTACTTTCCTGATTTCTGTCACACTGGTGACATCATCAAAGCTAACCCAGCATGATGGCATGACCAAACATTATGATTAACTTCATCACACTGTTGAAGAACAATGTAGTGTCTTTAGTCAGAGGCTTCTATAGACTTTGCTGTGACACAGACCACTACAGGACCAGGTATATCCAGCTATAATAGAAACCTGTCAGAGAACAACATTTCCTCTACAATAAAACTAAAGAGTTTTTGCATTGAATTGAATCAAAATAAAATAAAAAATACTTTGATTTTCAAACCAAAAGCACTGCAGACCCGCCAGCAATGGCAGATGAATCGTTTTCAAGCCGCTAAAGAATTTTACAGCAGAATAACTTTTGCTCAGCTGATCTTTTTTATGCAAAATTCTTCAGGGAGAGTTAAAAATGAATAAGGCTACCATCCATCCATCCATCCTCCACCCATCCATCATCCATCCATCCATCCTCCACCCATCCATCATCCATCCTCCACCCATCCACCCATCATGTCAAAGGGCTGGTTACTCTTCTAGCTGGTCCATCTTCACGGGTTGTTTTCCACAATGGTGGTCATACAAACAAAACAAGCCAGTAAGGTACCAATCAGGAAATAGGCATAGTGTAGAGCGGATGTAGATTGACCAATCAGAGGCCTCCTGTCTGCGGCCACCTATAATTTTGGAGAGGTGCGCCATAGTGATATTGCATATCTGCTTTCACTGTGACACACACGCAGACGACGTGGTTTCTGAGTATAAACCAGCTTTTACAGTATTATCTTAATATTTGTACTTTTTCAGTTTTTCATATATTTCAGAACGGATGGATACAACTGAAATTGCATCGATACTATTGATGCATCATATATCGATGGTTGCATCAGTATCGCCTGTTATACGTCATTCTTTTCATATATTAATGTTTTTGATAGTGTTGCACCGATACAGATACCAGTATCGGACGGGGCTCCGATACTGCCCTAAAATGGTAGTATCGAGGGCACCGATACCATTTTGAGAGCCATACGTTTATTTAACTATTGTCACCCACTCCTGGTAGGCAATATAAAGTTCTACTGGATTCACTTTGTATTAGATTTTTTCCTGCTTCACAAAGGTAGGCAGCAGCTTGACAAAGCCATGATGGCAATTATTTTACATTATTATGGTATCGGCTGATATCGGTATCAGGGCCAAAAAATAGCGCAACACTAGTTTTTGAGCCTTTTATAAATAACGCACTAAAAGGCATCTGTCTAACAACCTATAAGTATAAATATCAGTGTATTGTGGTTCTTACGTATTCTCAACAATAAATATCTGTTTGGATTCATATTTTGGAAAATAAACACTTATTAAAGCATTTAGGTAAAGTCTCTTTTCTATACTAGAAATTGGTTTTAACTGAAGTTTTTGTTTTTCTTGTCCTTTCATCGTTGCTGTTATTTATTTTTTTACATTTAGAGCAGTTTGGATGTAAAACTGCTTAAATAACAGCGAATATATGAAGTTAAACAGATTTCTCAATTTATTTATGGATTATTTTGACGCTGAGAAGAAAATCCAAGAGAAAACCTCGCCAGCTTCCTCTAAATACAGTTTACCGTTTAATTTGAACATGTCCTCATGAAATAGACTACAGATTTATCTTGGGTAGAAGGGAACTGATGACAGGTAAACTGAGGCACTCAGACCCGGGGAGTGCGGGACCTACGGCGGTGGAAACACGAACATCTAATCTACAGAGAAAGTCTGACGAACTTACATTTTTTACTCCAAATTCTCCCAAAATAACCCGACTGCGAATTTCCTCCACGTTACTCATGGGGGCCGCCATCTTCTTTTTCTTCTTTTTCGGAGGCACCTAGGTTTGTTGCAGAAGCAGATTTCTGCCTCCCTCTGGCCAAGTACCGGTAGTGCATGTAGCGTCCACCATCCAAAATAGAAAAGGATGTCTAATTACTGTCCAATTAGTGGTAGTGCAACCGAAAGCTACCATCCAATGTAGAAAAGCTGCCCCTACTGTCCAAGTAGCGGTAGTGCAACCGAAATCCACCAGCCAATGTAGAAAAGCTGCCCTCTACTGTCCAAGTAGCGGTAGTGCAACCGAAATCCACCAGCCAATGCAGAAAAGACAGAAGTCTGCCAATTATGACACCTGGCTGAAAACACTGCATAGTTGATTTCCTGTCTAAACTGGAGTCATAAAATTTTGAAGCCGTTTGTAAAGTTAAGCAGTGAAATATTAATGACTTTTTATTTTTCAATATGTCATTCATTCATTTATAAAAGTCGAAGCTCCAAACTAAATATTTAGATTGCTGTTTAAAAAATGTGTCAGCAAATACTTAGTTTGGACCTAAATATTTAGTTAAGTAAATAAAGATTTAGTTTGGAGTTAAATAGCTAAATCAGATCTACAGAAACTCTCCCTGGTATTGTTAATAAGGCAGGCTTCTGTTTAGCAGTGCTTTGCGCTGAAGCAGCAGTAACTGTAGAAAGTGAATGTTGAAATGATCTTTTTAAATATCTTTCAATATTTTTTTTTCACAAAATTAAGTTGGCGAGGATGCATTGTCACTGCTGGAGGATCTTGGAGCTGGAAAAATCAGGAGATAGAGCCATGATGATGACTGGCCAGTTGGCCTATGTCTATTTACCCCTCATTCAAACAGTCCAATATCCATGAGCCTTTCTTGTCATTGCAGCTCTGTTACAGACAGCTGCCTTTGTTGGTCTGTCAGATATATGGATTAAGTAACTATTCACATGCTGATGGTGGTACGCTACGTTTCCTCCAAGCGGGAAAAGGAGCCTCTATGTTTCCTGTCGTAGTTCCTTTACCTTAGAGATCTTGAAAAGTCTCTCCCTGGCAACAAGGAGCTGTAAGGAATCCCACAATCCTTTGTGTGTCATGACACTGATGATTCTCATCAGAAGTCATCAGGATCAGATGTGAAATTTTAAAAGTTAAAGCCTCTCAGAATTTATAAAATTGGTCATTTTTATCTAAGTTGCTCTTAATATTGCCAAGAAACTTCCAATTTCCAGTTGCTGATTGCACTTAAGGGTGAAAGTAGGGCACCCCTTCATTCTTCTAACCAAGTAGCATGAGGATGTGATGGGGAATTTCAAAATAAAAGCCTCTCAGAATTTGCTAAATTGGTCAATTTTTTTCTAAGTTTCTGTCACTATTTCAAAGAAATCCTTTTTCCAGTTAATAATTTCCCTCCAGCATGATAGTAAAGCACACATAGATGCTTCTCACCAGGGTTGGTTAAGGTCTAATGTGGAATTTCCAAATAAAGCCTCTCAAATCACAGCGGATACTGCGCTCGGTGCATTGCACCATAACAGTGAAGTTGTAATTTGACCCATAACAATCCTAAAGACTGACGATGGGTTCATGAGGCGTCATGAATCGTTTGAACACATTGTATTGATGCTGTGTTGATACTGAATACGGATATCCAAGGCTCCGGAGGATGCAGCAGCAAAAAGAAACCGACAAAAAGAAGGCTGCATGTATCGGCCGTATAACGAGGAGTCTTCCCATCAGGACAGGCCACAGCGCCTCTCTATGATGTAATCGGCACCGAATCTGGCCTTTGGAGGACGTAGGCCCTTGACTCAAACTCAGCACATATCCCTAGAAGCAGTCAGGACCTTCTAATGAGCTCATACTAGAGTCAGGTTCATCAGTGTTCTGTTAGTAGCCGTTTATATTCCAGCACTGCACATGATGTAATCAGTTCCATTGTTAAGCTAAATACACAACAGTCAAATGCATTTTTTGCAATAACTGGTGATTTTTTTTTCCACACCTTACTCTCTGCTAGACCTCCAAATTTCCTAATATTTTTCTGCTACTGCATCAGATAAAAAACAAAACTTTGGACTTGTTTTATGCAAACGTCAAGGACTTCTGCATCTCTGAATTGAAACCTACACTTGGGGGAATCGGATCACAACATTGTTTTCCTCTGCTCAGAGTATAAGGCACTTTATAAGAGACAACATGCATTATAAAGAACTGTAAGGAGATAGTCACAGGAAGCTGAAGAAGCCCTGCAAGGTTGTTTTGAGGCTGCAGACTGGGATGCACTGGGATGCACTGTATCAATGAGTATGTGACTGATTACATAAACTTCTGTGTAGATAACACCACCCCTACCAGACCAGGGAAATGCCTCCAAAACAATAAACCATGGATCACAAGTGATCTAAAGAAAAAACAAGCCTTTAAGAAGGGAGACAGGGAATTAATGAGGAGAGTAGAGAAGCCACTTAAGGTTACGATAAGAGAAAGCAAGGAGGCAAAGAGGAAAAGGCTGGAAAACAAGCTCCAGCAGAACAATATCAGGGATGAAGATCACAAGCCTTCCATCAGACAGATGGAAATCTGGACAGAGCAGGTGAACTGAATCCATTCTTCAACAGGTTCAGATCAGGAACAAGCTCAGCGCATTTCTCTCCTTCCCCCAGCTGCTCCCTCCACCTTCCACCTGTCTATCATTAAAAGTCAAGTAAAGAGGCAGCTGGAGAGACTGAATGGTAATAAGTCAGCAGGTGCTGATGGTGTCAGCCCCAGAGTCCTGAAGCTCCTGAGCACATGTGGGGATCATGTTCTTTTATTTCTCCGATCATTTAAAGGAAAGGTCTGGTCATATTCAGAATTAAAACTTCTGAAAGTACTTTAAATATGAAATTATTACATACTGTTCAATAAATGATCAGTGTTTTTAATGAAGAGTAATGTTCATGTGAATGTGCTTTACTGGAGACATCCGTGTTTGTCAAAGAACACTACTGCCACCTACTGGTTTGTGACGTCACGGTGCGGTATCGGCTGTTGATCAAGTCCCAGTGCTGTATCTGGTGTTTGTCACAACGCGCTATTATCCAAGTCATCTTGAAAACATTCTTCTTCCAAATGTTGGCTACATATTACGTGTTTTTTCGCTGGCCAGAAGGTCGATGGCAAATCCTCCGTTTTCAAGTTGGCAATCCAACGACCAACCTGTCCATGGAGGATCGTGGAATGGAAAGGTAAAATAACTCATTTTTTTCCCAACTTTTACCCGATGTATTTCAACATCCAGCTGCCATGCACGTGGGCATTGTCAGTTTCACTATAGCTCTGGTGAATTTCAATGGTGAAGTCCTCTGGAAATCTTCAATAATTGTTGTTGATTGCAGATGTGTCTAGTAGTTCCCATTGATTTTGCTTGTATAGCGGGGAGAATGGCGCTAGGCTTACCGCACCGTGACGTCACTGCTGGAAGATGGCAGGAGGGAGGGGTTGTTATATATGGGCAAAAATGGCCGCTCCCAGACTCCGTGATCGTGACAAAAATTATTGTTCTTTTTTTTACTTATTAACGCTAAATTGATTAAATCACAGCAAAATTATTCCTTGCTGACCGGACTTTTCATTTAACACCAGTCAGCCTGACTGACTTTGTGGGAAACTCCAGAAGACTCAGGTGGATGCATCAACAATCACCTGGATCAAAGACTACCTGACAAACAGACCACAGTAAGACTGAAGGCTCAGCTGTCTGATCAAGTAATCAGGAGCACAGGAGCACCACAGGGGACGGTATTCTCTCATTCCTTTTTCCTCTGTTCACCTCTGACTTCCAGGACCAGACAGAGTCATGTCATCTGCAGAAACACTGGGATGACTCTGCAGTCACTGGGTGCATCAAAGATGGACAAGAAGCCGAGTACAGAGAGCTGGTGAACCGTTACGTGGCATGGTCTGGAAACAATCATCTGATCGGGAATGTCAACAAAACAAGGAGATGATTGTAGATTCAGGAAGAAACGGGAACAAGTTGGATCCTATTAATATCATGGGCGAAGAAGTGGAGGAGGTAGAGGAGCAAAAATACCTTATTGTTCACGTGGACAACAAACTAGACTGGAGACATAACTGTGAAACCATCTACAATAAGGGACAGAACAGACTGGACTTCCTAAGGAAGCTAAGGTCCTTCAGCGTTTGCAATATGATGCTACATATCTTCTATAAGTCTGGTGTGGAGAGTGATCTCTTCCTCCATCAGCTGCAGGGGTAACAGCATCAGAGCTAATGACTGAAAGAAGCTCAACCAGCTGATAAAGAATGGCAGCTCTGTTCTAGGAACTGCTCTAGAACCTCTGGAAAATGATTTCACAAAAAAAAAAAATTCTTGATGAAGTGAAGATAATTATGGACGACAGTAAGCATAGACAACAACAGCGAGTCATCAGTCAGAGGCTTTTCCAAGGCAGTCTTCTAAAGAAGATCCTTCCTTCAGCCTTCAGCTATCAACACCTAAAACACCTGTTTAAAAAAAACTAAAGGCGTATGAGTTACCACAACATTTAATATCTCTTTGGAATATATAAAGAATTTTTGAATTGTAATGAATTGAATTGAATGGAACTGAATATCAACCGTGCTTCTCTCCACGTAGCTTCACCTACTTGGTATACACAAAATAGCAATTGGCATCCAAACCTTTAATAATAATAATTTAACTTTATAGATCTCACACAGGGAAAATTTACCTCTGCATTTAACCCATCCCCTTGGGGAGCAGTGGGCTGCCATTGTGTGGCAACTGGGAGCAGTGTGGAGTTTAGGGTTTTGCTCAGGAACCCAGAGTGGAGACTATGGGTATCGAGCATTTACAAGCATTTACAGTTATACTGAAAGTTGTATTTTATAAAACAAACTTATTTATATACAGTCTTACAGACACACCATACAAGGAAGATGTAACACAAACCTTTCCCCTCCTACCCCCCAACCTCCGTTCTCATACGGTTCTTAAAATCCTTTCATTTCTGCACACAACACATCCATCTGAGCACATTCATCTCTGTATAATTCAACACACTACTTCTATAAAGGTACATTAGTGAGGAAGTTATATAAGGTGAACCTGCAAAGGGATGATTTGAAGCCGGTCCAGAAAGGCTCACTCCACTATAGACAG